TTTATTTCAATATGTATCTACATATGTTAAAAACCACAAGTTCATCCAGATACCCCCAATTTGAATCCAACACCACAGAATTTACTCTAGTTTTCCCCCTTTCCATCTTTGGAAGCCTGGCTCCCATTTTCTTCAGCATATTTACATGTTTGTTTAATCCCCTTATATGTAACTAATCTCCAGCCATGCCAGCCAACCATTCCTCAGCGTTGTGGTGACCTCGTGGGCCACCATGTGGCTGAGAGGGAGAGGAAAAGCTCCTGAGGCTTTGACTTGGTGATGCCATAGGATCCTTGTCAGCTCTTTGATGCTTTGAAGAATTTTTTACACTTCATCCATTTTTAGTTGTTTTCAACAGGAGGGTTGGCCAGAATGAAATTGCCTGCAGTATTTTCATAAGCTGAACAAAATATATTTTTATGTGTTTGATGAGAAGAAAAAATTGGGAAGTACTACTTTGGGTGTTGCCTGTCTTCATTTGAAATTTTGCCTGTATCTATTTTGTTTTGTTTTGTTTTGAGACAGAGTCTCGCTCTGTCACCCAGGCTGGAATGCAATGTCATGATCTCAGCTAACTGCAACCTCCGCCTCCCAGGTTCCAACAATTCTCCTGCCTCAGCCTTCCAAGCAGCTGGGATTACAGCCACCTGCCAGCACGCCTGGCTAATTTTCGTATTTTCAATAGAGACGAGGTTTCACTACGTTGGCCAGGCTGGTCTTGAACTCCTGACCTCAGGTGATCCATATGCCTTGGCCTCCCAAAGTGCTGGGATTACAGGTGCACACCACCACACGTGGCTAACTTTTGTTTTTTAAATAAATGTTTTTAAATTTTAAATAACTGAAACAGGGTTGTTGCACAGGCTAGTCTCAAACTTCTGGCCTCAAACAATCCTCTTACCTCGGCCTCCCAAAGTGCTGGGATTACAGGTGTGAGCCACCCACCTGGCCTGGATCATGCTTAGTTGTAGCTCCTCATAATTTGCCAGCTCTAGACAAAAATCATAAAATGAACCACTTTCAATATACCTAATATGCAAATGATGGAGGAAAACAGGATAAGGTCCGTTGAAATTCTCCCCTCAAAAAGGAGAAGCACCACACAGCTCTCACCAGCTGCATCAGTGTTTCTCAAACTTCACTGTGTCTCAATCACCTGGAGAGCTTGTTAAAATGCCACGTCTGAGTCACGGGGTCTGGGGCGGGGCCTGCAAATCTGCATTTCTAATGATTCCAGGTGATACGTTGCTGCCATCTGAGGACTGTGCTTTGAGTAGCAAATCTCTGGGGTGTCCATCATTCTTACTCCCCTGGTCAGGAGGATTCTATTACGTGATAAAACCAGCAAACCTTAGAGGTATTTTTAAACTTTTTATTTTTTTAATTTATGAACATACACAAGGAGAACCCCTAAGTACCACTGGGATTCACCAATCTTTTTTTATAACTTTCGCTGCCTCTGAACTTTTTCTTTGTTATTTGAAAGCAAATGCAACCATTATATCATTTCAGCATGCACCTCTACCAGATAAGAATAATAAGAAACAAACAAACAAAAAAACAGTATCATTATCACACAAAACTAACAATACTTGTAACACAAAATTAACAATAACTCCTAGATAATCTTTTTTTTTTTTTTTTTTTTTGAGACGGAGTCTCACTCTGTTGCCCAGACTGGAGTGCAGTGGTACGATCTCCGCTCACTGCAAGCTCCTCCTCCCGGGTTCACGCCATTCTCCTGCCTCAGCCTCCCAAGTAGCTGGGACTACAGGTGCCCACCACCTCGCCCAGCTAATTTTTTGTGTTTTTAGTAGAGACGGGGTTTCACCGTGTTAGCCAGGATGGTCGATCTCCTGACCTCATGATCCGCCCACCTCGGCCTCCCAAAGTGCTGGGATTACAGGTGTGAGCCATCGCGCCCGGCAATAACTCCTTCATAATCTAATAGTCAGTCCATAGGCTGTATTCTCAGCTGCACGTTTTTGAGCCTCTTCCCAAGCAGTAGCTGATTTTCCTGGTCAGCTCCTCCGGTGGCTCAGGTTCACTCCTTTTTGCTGAACACCTTATGTTGCTGTGCTCCTTGGCCCTGGGGCTGAGTACATGGGTGTATTCATCCTACAACCGTATTTTATGGCCTGCCAATTTCCTTCTCGGGGTGGGGGGACTCTGTTTGCTAGTACACAATGCTCTAGAATAAGGCAAAAGCTTTAGAATCATGCCTTTTGAGTCTGAGCCCTACCTTCCTGGGTCTCTCCCCAGTCCTGTAGCCTTAAGGTTAGGACAGTAAACAACAACCTGGACATGAAGCCTGGATTATCGGCCCTGCCCCTGGTTGGCAGCTCAGGTGGCCTTGTAAATATGGGAGTGGGTTTGCTTCAGGAGAAGCCTGTGGGACCAGGCATCTCAAAGTCTTTTAGCTTCAAATTCCTCTAGTTTTTTCCCAGATATCTTCCCATTGCCAGGATCTCACAACATTTTAAATCAGTGTATTAATTGGTTGTTCAATTCAGCGAGGTGTGGTTCTCTGACCCTCTGCCTCTCCAGTCCCTGGCTATAGGCAGAAAGGGCTTCCCCTAACAAAGGAACAGACTGAAGCTTGTTCCTACTCTGCCGTCAGGCACCCCCTCCAGCGCCCCCACCGCCCCCCACCACTTGCATGTATCTTGTCTCTCTTGCAGTCTGTCCCTGAAACCCACAAGAAGGAGCCAGCGCACTCTATCCCGGCATTCTCCATTGGACCCTGAAGCTCAAGAGAGAATGACGTGTGGTTTCCTGGCCAGCTGCTTCATGACCAAATAGCAAGGATTGCCCAACACCCAGCCTAGAATAGGAGGATGATCCCATCCCTGCTCCGCTGGCACCATACAACAGGACTCTGCAAGGCTGCGCTGAGTTTCCAGGTTCCAAATCCTGTTAGGCAGGGCTCTTCTGGCTGTGTGGGACAGGACTCAAACTCAATGTTTTTTCAGCCAAAAGGGGAATTGATTGGAAAGATGTGGGCATGTCACAGAACAGCCTGGTATCGGGAAAGGCAGGAGTGAGCTGGGGCTTCCTCTACCCATCTCTTTTTTTTCTTCTTCTTCTTCTTTTTTTTTTCTTTTGAGATGGAGTCTCGCTCTGTCGCCCAGCCTGGAGTGCAGTGGCGTGATCTCGGCTCACTGCAACCTCCACCTCCCGAGTTCAAGCGATTTTCCTGCCTTAGCCTCCCAAGTAGCTGAGATTACAGGTGCCCACCACCACAGCTAGCTAATTTTTGTATTTTTAGTAGAGACAGGGTTTCACCATGTCGGCCAGGCTGGTCTCGAACTCCTGACCTCAGGTATCTACCCATCTTGGCCTCCCAAAGTGCTGGGATTACTAGCATGAGCCACCACGCCTGGACTCCACCTCTTTTCTTGTGGGTTCTTTTCTCCGTCTGCAGGCCTCACAGAGACCTGGGCTTGAGGCCTCATAGGGGAGCCCTCAGTGCTGACCACACACTACAGTCCCCTGAGGAGCTACCTGACCTCTGATGGCAGGTCCACCCGGACCAATGAAGTCAGAGTGTCTGGGCGTCGCCCCCAGGTGACTCGAATGTGCACGCAGGGTTGGGAACCATTGCACTGTAGCTTCAGGCACCCAGAGGAAAACTCTTGCAGTTATCATTCATGATTAGGGGGGCAGGACTCTGGGGAGCCTATTTAGGGTCGGGTGGCCACACCCTCTGACCAGAGACTGGACAAGCCCCTGTGGTGCCCCGGTGGATGTGCAGGGCCGGCCAGGCCAGGCGCTGAGGGGTCAGTCCCCCAGCAGCTCCCTGCCATTTGTGTCATTCCTCCTGCCCCTGCCCTCGACTGCAGTGTACGTGGCAGTCATCTCATCCGACTTGGTTTCCATCACTTTCCCTCTCAGAGTCAAGCTCGAAGGAGAAGCCGAGCGGCATTCTTGAGATCTGGGGACTTGGTGGGAGATGTGGTCACAAGGCAAGTGGTGGAGGAGGCCAGAATGGGGCTGGCCAAGGAAGGTGCATAGCAGGGAAGGGGAGGTTCTGTGATGGATGCTCTCCCCAGAAGCCTGCTATGCAGTGGCCAAAGAGACTTGGATACACTGGAGAGGGTTTGGAGTGGGAGAGGTCTGAGCATGAGGGGCGGGGCTGGCACACTTTGGTTCGGGGAGATGTAGGACAAAGGACTCTGGCCTTGGAACTGACCTGGGCTGGTTTCCCTACATTCCTCTCCGGCCCTTCCCCCTCTATACTAAGCGGGGATGGTACCTGGACTTCAAGACCAAAAGCCCTTCTAACTCTGACAGTACTGCTGGGTGCAGCAAGCAGTTCCAGCCACAGTCTCTGGGCAGCCTCAGGCTGTCCCCTCCCCACCCTGGTTCTAGGAAAAGACCTTGGACCTCAGCTGGATGCTGGGGATCAGGAGAGGAGGAATGGTAGGTGTGGAAACAAGGGGCAGGATTCGGGGTGAGCAGAGCTGGGGGCTGCAGACCTTGCTCAGGACAGTCCTGATGCCCGCAAGCTCCTAACGCCCTCCCCACATTCCCTTTTCTACATAGGGAGCTCCTACTCTGTGTTGCCTCACCTATCTCTGATCCCCAGCATCCAGCTGGAGGGCCTTCCAGGAACTGTCCCTTCCCTTAGGAGGTCTCTGGAGCACAGTAACAGGGGCAGGGTTTACTACCTTGGGGCCTCTTTCCACACCAGGGGCTCCATGACCCAGGGGCCTGCTCCCAGAGCTGGGCCAGGCCTCAGGGGCAGCCTCCAGGAGTGGGTGGGGTCTCCCATCAAGGAGGACCTTGAGCCAAAGCCAAGGCCAGGCTTGGGAGGGGGTTCCCTAGACAGGGGGTAGGAGCCCTGAATTGTCTCCTGCTCAGCCTTGGATGTGCTGTGTAACCCACCCTGGACCTCTGTCTCCTCATCTTTCTGCCCAAGAGCCCCAGGGGTCAGCACTGACCACCCTGACCCAGGCCCCGTCCAAGTCATGCCGAGGACAGACTGAATGACACCATGATTGGGGCTGGATGTTCACTTCTCTTTCCAAAAAATATGAAACACAGAGTCTAGGTATGGCAGGGGACAGAGCCTGGCTGGGGACTGGACATTACACACCCAGGGGGCCCTTGGCGGAGGCGGGCAATTTAACAACTGGTCTGAAAGTCAAAAGAGAGAGAGCTGGTTAGTGGAGTGAGCTGTGGGGTCGGGGACAGGGGCTGTGCATTCAGGCCCGGACATGGGTACTGGCCAGCATGGCAAGACCTTGGCCCTCACAGCAGCCCTGCCTGGGGCCCATTCCCGGGGGGCGGGGGTGCCGTGGTCCGACCTAGCCATCTGTGTGGGTAGCCCCCAGCCCTGGGTGCACTGGAAGAACCTGAGACCTAAACTCAGACCCTCCCTGTCCTCGTGTGAACGTTCAGCATCCCGGCACTGCCCTTGTGGGGTTGCTGTGAGGAGCCCATGGGACTGAGGAGGGTGAAGGTTTCTGCTCACCCCAAGGACCTGGGTACTAAGGTACTTCTTGGCCACTGCTGTAACTCCAGGGCCCAGCACATAGCAGACACCCACGCGGCTCTTCAGTGAGTAAACAGCCGGGCTGGTGCCTGAGGGCCTGTCTCCAGGGATGCATGCTGGTGCCCACCAGGCTGTGCAGACAGGACCGTGCCTGGACCTGCATCCGTGTGTGTGCCTGGGGGCTGGGTCCTGCCTCTGGTCTCTCTGAGGATCTGGGTCTCGGATTGCAAGGTGGGTGCTTGCGTTGAGGACAAGCTACTCAGAGCACCTATGCCCATCCTATGCCCCAGTGGCCCTGCCCAGGGTGCTGCGAGGCTGGCTGGATGCTGGACGAGGGGGCCACCGGGCGGGGGGCTGGCCAGGGCAGGAGGAGCTCAGACGTACTCTCGGGCAGCAGCAGAGGGTCCAGGCCGATAGGGCTGCGGGCTGCTGTTGGGTCTCTCTGGCTCCGGGCACGTGCAGCAGAGGAAGGAGCCCCCCAGCACGGCCAGGCCAGCTGAGGCCCAGCCCACAAACAGGGCTGGGCCAAATTCATACCTGCAAGGGGTAGGGAGAATGGCATCAGGTGCGGCTGCTGCCTCAGGTTGTTCCCAGTCCCTGCCCTGGCAGAGGAAGGGCAGAGTGTGTGGAGCTGGAGGCTGGAGCCGCACGACCTCTTCCATGTGTCCAGATAAACTGAGGTGAATGCTCTTCCTTTCTGCCTCCCGCCAGCCCAGAAGATCCACACCACACAGGGTGACCCGGCCAGGGTGGGCGTGAAGGCCAGAGGCTTGGCCTCCAGCTCCTGCTCTGGGCAACCTTGGGCTCATTTCCTGATCTGGCCAGTGGAGGGGGCATGGGAGGGCCTGAGAGGCCTGCGCGGGAGGAGTGGGGCAATCCCTGCCATCTTTCTTGCCAGTCACAGTCGGGCCCACAGAACTCCCAGGCAGGACTGCTCCCGCTGCCCTCTGGAGAAGGCACTCTGGGCTCTCCACACCCAGGCCCTGCTGGCCAGTCCAGCCCCGATCCTGGGTCTCACTGCCTTAGTGCCTTTGCACAAGGCACCCCCTCCTGGGGCATCAAGCCCCCCAGCCCGCCACTCCTGTGCCTCCCCAGTTCCTTCTCTGCCTTCAGAGCCCAGTTCAGATGCCTCCTCCTCGTGGGGTCTTTCCTTGACATCCTCTGTGTTCACACTGCCCCTTGCGTGACTCCACTGCCATGCTTTCTTCAGGAGGCCTCAGCCCCTTGCTTGTCCGGCCCCCTGGGAAGCCCCTTGAGGGCAGACAGAGCCATTAGTGTCCCCAGGACCCAGCACAGGGCCTGGCAGCCCAAGTGGCATTGGGGACTGTTGAAGGGATCAGGGGCCAAGTCCTATCCTGACATGCCTAAGCTGGACCTTGCTTGGCAGATTTTGTGGCTGCAGCTGCCGCCCAGGGAACAAACCTTGTACCTGAGATCTCCTCCCTCCCCTCCCCTCTCCACATCTCTGCCTCCTCCAGGGATCCCTCCCGATTGCAACAGCCCAGGCATCTTTCCTCATCCTCTCTCCACTCCAAGGCCCAAAGCCCACTGGGATGTCTAGGTTTGAGACTGTCCCACTCTCTGCTCCTGGCTAGGTTGAGAAGTGAGGGAGGAGCCAAGGTAGGCCCAGGCCCTTTGCAGAGCATCCCCTTCTGTTCCCATGCCCACAGCCTTACAAGTCCTGGTTATCTCCTGAATATCAGCCTGCTCTCTACTGCTCCCTCCCTGGCGCCCCAAACCCTCTGCTCAGACCTTTGGGACAGCCGCCTTCCTGGTGTCACTCCCTCCCCACCATTCTGCACATCACAGCCAGAGGGACTGCCGCTGCCTCCACTCGGATGAGGAACAAAATCTTCCTATGGTTGCAAGGCCTTCCACGATCTGCCCTTATTCTCAAGTTTCTTCCTGGCTCAGAATAACTGCTGCCTCCTCCAGGAAGTCATCTCAGCCCTGTTGCCACCAGCAGAAATGCCACACCCTCACCTGCGTCTTGCTGGATACGGACAACCATGCGTGAACTGGTGCTCAGTTTCTAGCCCCATTTTACAGAGGAGGAAACTAGGCACAGAAAGATTAAGTAACTTGCCCAGGTGACACAGTGCATGCAAAGCTGGGATTGATTGATTGATTGATCGTTTGATTTTTTTGAGACAGAATCTCACTCTGTCACTCAGACTGGAGTGCAGTGGCATGATCTCGGCTCACTGCAACTTTCGCCTCCCGGGTTCAAGCTATTCTCCTGCCTCCTCTGCCTCCCAAGTAGCTGAGATTACAGGCGCCCGCCACCACGCCCAGATAATTTTTGTATTTTTAGTAGAGATGGGGTTTCACCATGTTGGCCAGGCTGGTCTTGAACTCCTGACCTCAGGTGATCCACCCACCTTGGCCTCCCAAAGTGCTGGGATTACAGGCGTGAGCCACTGCACCTGGCCAGAGGTGGGATTGAAACCCAGAGTCAGGGCACTTAGGTCCTTAGAGAGTCCTTGCTGCACCTGGGGGCCCATCCAAGGCTTCCCGCCCCTATGGAGGCCCCAGCACACTACTCCTGGCGCCCCCATTTAAAGCTTCTGGGACAGCAGCTGGACCCTGTCCCCCACTTCCCCCGCCAGGTGATCCAGTGGACAAAGGTCAGTGGTCCCAGAGGAGGTGAAGCAAAAGACCCAACCCCTGGCACCCACCTGGCATTGACAGGTGTGCTTGGGTTGAAGAACTCCTGGGTCACCAGGGTGGCATACCACGAGACGGCAGTCAAAGTGCAGAGGCCTAAGGACAAAGCAGAGGGGCTCTCAGCTCTGCTCTGGTCCCCCGAGGCCACTGGGGCTGGGGCTGCCTGCCATGGCTGTGATTGTGGAGGAGTGAGGGGCACTCACCTGCCAGGATGAAGAGGGCTCCCCCGGCGATGGCGACACGGCCCTTGGCAATGGGGTTGCTGTCTCCCACCCGTGTGCACTTCATGCCAACTACGCTGAGGACCATGGCCACGAAGCCCAGGAGCACGGCCACCACCATCAGGGCCCGCGCTGATTGGATGTGACCTAAGGTGGGCAGGGTGACACTGAGTCGGGCTGGCGGGGATGGGGGTTGGGTCGGTGCCTGGGGTTGGTGGAAGGAGCCCAGTTTGACAGAGGCTTGAGTAGGAGCTGGCCTGCAGATCAGACCAACTGCTGGCAGGTGTGGGATAGTGAGGAGTGACAGCCTGCGTCAGGAGGACAGGGTGTGGGGGTAGAGTCCGCTCGCCCTTGCAGGCTTTTCTGGTGGTATGATTCACTCTGCTGTTGCTTTCTGGCCTGGGGACTCCCTCTTGGGCTTGACCCATCCTCCCAAGCAGCTGAGGGCAGCTCCAGGGTCCCCTCAGCTTTGGTAGATGGAAGAGCTGGGGGCATCTGAGGCCCAGCTCAACTCAGCCTGAGCCCCACAGCAACCCCTCCCCAGCAGCCATTCAGACAACGGTCACTTTCCCCTCTGCCCATGGCAGCTAGAAGCTTGCCTCTTCATGGGTGCGTGGGTCCGGCCTGGGCCCTGGGGGGCGTTCAGGAGACCTGGGTCCCTCAGCGAGGCTAGACGACCTGCCTGAACTGACCAGCCTGAACTGGCACAATGGGGCTGGTTGATGGCCGCTCTGCTCCCAGCTCCCATGGGGAGCAGATTGCCCTGGGGGGTCCTGGGCAGATTGCAGGTGGATCACCTCCACCCCAGAGTTAGAGCTTCGGCGGTGCCTGTCAGGCTCAACTCCACACCCCAGAAGGAGAGGGACTGCATGCAGACGCACCTGTCGGTGCATGCATGTGCACGTGCGTGTGTGTTTGTGTGCCTGCGTGTGCATGTGTGTTCACATGCGTGTGCGTGCACCCATATGCTGGCACACAGGCCTGGGAGCAGGACTGGGGAGCAGGTGTGCATTGTACAGTGTGTGTCTGTCTGCTGAGTGTGGGGAGAAGTGGGTGAAGGGTCTTAACTGAGCATTTCAGAGTGCCACAGGTATTAGTATTCCCCTTTGGAGACGAGAACATCACAATGGGAAGAGGTTTGGTGACTGGTTCAAAGTTACAGTGACAGAGCAGGAATCTGGACCCACAGCTGCCAGACCCTAGAGCCCTCCCCTCCTGCAGGGCAGCAGGCTGGCCTGGACTGTCGATGGGCACAGGGCAGTAGTGGGGAATTGTAGAGTGGGGGCTGGAGGATGGAGCCCAGTGCAGACAGCAGACTGTGAGGAAAGCTTGCTCCAGACCCCTCTGCTGTTCCCACCTCCCACCTCCCACCTCCCACCCCGCCGGCCTCAGGCCTACCGTCCAGGGCGAGCAGCGAGTCGTAGAGCTTGCACTGCACTTGCCCGGTGCTCTGGGAGGCGCAGGACATCCAGAGCCCTTCATAGAGGCCCACGGCGGTGATGATGGCGTCGCCTGCGTAGGAAGACTGCTTCCACTGCGGCAGGGCTGTGCTAGCAATGATGCCCACCCAGCCACCCAGGGCCAAGAAGTAGCCCAGGAGCTGGAGGCCTGAGTTGGCCATGGTCTGGGGGAGGGGACCAAGGGTCCCGGGACTCAGAGCTGGGCCAGGGTCCCAGCAGGGGCTGTGGTCATGGCCAGGTGGGAGGAGCAACTGGGCAGGGGAAGCAGTGAGAAGGAGGGTCAGAGGCAGAGAAGGAGAGGTGGTGGGGCGGCAGCGGCTGGAGCAAAGGCAGTGGCTCTGGACTCCAGAATGCAGGGGGAGGCCCAGGGGCTGGAAAAGGCCAGGGCCCGCCCACAGCAGCCGCCTAAGCCAGAGCAGGGTCCCCAGCAAAGCTCATGCCCAGCCCCCTGGGGGCGGAGGGCCGGCCCATGGCCCAGGTGGTGTCCCTGCCCCGCCCCGTTCCCCAGGGATAGGGAAGGGAGGGGCTGAGAGGAATGACCCAGCTGCCCTCAGGGCCTTTCCCCCCAGGGAAACCCCTTTAGGAACCTGATTTGAGTGCCCTAAAATTCAGATAATCGCTCACCCAAACACCAGCCCTGGGAGGATGGGCTTCGCTCTTGCAAGGCTGATGTAACTCTTGGGTTTTCTGCCCTTTGACTTTAGGACAGAAGGGAAAGGGATGCCAGTTTGCAGCAGGTAAAACTAGAGTTAGACGTCACGGATAACTTTTTGGCAGGGGCTCTGAAGCTGGATGTGGGGAGGCTGAGCTAGGGGTGGGGTGTTGGGAAGAGGGGTCATGGGTACCTGGGAACTGTGTGTGCCAAAAATCAGGGAGGCCAGACCAGGAAATAAGTACTGTGGGGTCTTTTTGAGATCTGAAGGGGACAGAAAAGGGGCCCTATCAAGGCTAGGCCAGGGCTGGCTGCCGGCCAGCAAGGGGCCTGCTGGGGAGCTGGGGAGACAGCCCCGACCTTCTGGCATCAGCCTGAAGGAAGGCGGATTGCTCAGCCCCTTAATCCCCTTGCTGCCTGGCTTAGTAGCTCCTGCTGGGACTGGAACACTGGGCCCTGGCCCCCAGCTCTAGAGCAGCCTGGTGCAGAGCAGTGGCCTCTGCACATTCCTGGGGTTCAGGCTGCCCCCTCCGAGCACCCCCACCTCCCTCTTCTCTCTCCCAGTCTCTCGGTCCTCAGGAGTAGGGGAATGTTTAACTCTCTTCCACCTCATTAGCAATCCCCTCACGTTCAATTGGGCCCCACTGCTGCGTGGGTGCAGGAGGAATGTCACAACCCTGCTCCCACTCCTGCCAGCCCCCGGCCGCCCCCTCCGTCCCCAGTAGCCCACCCACCTTTCCTGGACTACATTGCGGAAAGGCAGGGTCCTGCTGCAGACCCCTGCTGGCTTCCTCCCCTACAGCCCAACCCCCCTCTGAAGGGACAAGTCCGCAGCCTGCTCCCTCGCATTCTTCACGTGGCTATGCAAACGAGAGGGTGCCAGGCGCTGAGCAGACAATGGCAGCCCTGTGTGCCCGCCCAGGGTGCCCGCCCAGGGCGTAGGCCTCTGGTATGGCCTGCAGCTCTGGCCAGAGCTGGGGGAGTGGTCTGCCGTCTGAGGGTCAAGGGTGGGCACTGCTTGGCCTGTGGTGGCCCACACTGCGACCCTCTGAGGCTCTCTGTGCTGGGAGGGTCAGAGCCATGTGGATCCAAGCACTCACAGACCTGCTTCCTGCATGACCTGCGGGTCCGAAAGAGCAAATGGGGTCTAGGGCAGTGGCAAAGAAATAAGTCCTGAGCTCAAATTCCTCTGCCACAATGACAAGACAGTAGGATCGAGGGGAGCCTCCTCCATCCTGCTGGGGCCGGAATGGGCACCCTGCGACCAGTGCATTAATTTAAGCATGCGGGCCACCGTTGCAGGCAGCAGGCCTCCTAACAGTAAGGAGACCACGGTGGAGGGAGGTGATATAGACCCCCAGCTAGTAAGCGGCAGGAAGAGTTCTCCACGGCGGAGGGAGGTGATAGGCCCCCAGCTAGGAAGCGGCAGGAAGAGTTCTCCACGGCGGAGGGAGGTGATAGGCCCCCAGCTAGGAAGCGGCAGGAAGAGTTCTCCGCTTGAAACTGTGTGGTGCTCGCCCCCACGGTCTCTCTCCCACACTCCTCTCTTTTTGAGGGAGGCACTGGGTCCAGATTGAAGGGAGCCACGGGCAGTGACAAGATGCTCCCCAGGGGTGACCTGAATGACTGTGGTGCCTCAGGGTCCTCACTCTAAATGGGAGGTTTGCTGCATGGAGTTGTGGTGGTCTGTTAAGGTAAGCGATGTCTGGGGAGGGCAGGGGCCTGGTGCTGGGTAGCTGCTCCTCCTATGCTTCTCCAAAGGCAAAGCCCTCCTTCTCCCCACGCTGGGCCTTGGCGCCTTTTCCCTGCCATCTGCCGGAGTGCTCTCTGTAGGGAAGATCCAGGGGTCATTCTGGTTTCAGGGGGACCTGGGTCAGGAGCCCAGAAGCCAGTCAGAAACACGCCTCAGAGACCACAGGCTGCGGCCCCCTCCATTGACAATTTGAGAGCCAAAGAGGGAAAGGGAGCCACGGTCCACAGGGCCCCAGAGCCAGCAGGAGGCCTGCATGCTCCTCCATCCTGGGCGTTCCCAGAGCCTCTTCGTGATCCAGAACAGGGCTCTCCTCTTCCTCTGAAGCGCTTCTGTTTATCCCTTCTCTTTGTTATTTGAGGCTTTGAGTCTCTCCTACCCTGATGGCCTTCCCTCACTCTTGTTCCAAAGCCTTTTGGAATTCAGATTCTGCTTCTGGAATGGCACTCCGTAACCTGGCACAGCTTCTCCACCTAGGGCACCTACCACTCCTGGTGCCCCCCTTGCAGTCCAGTGACTCCCAGGCATGCGGGGAGAACAGGAAGGCTCAGGGACCCAGCCCAGCCTCCATTAAGAGCTCACTGAAACTGCCCTGGGGTGGCACACCACACTGTGCTTTCACTCAGGCTACGAGAAGCCTACAGTGCTAGCTTTACCCCTGCCACTGAAAAGCTATGTGACAGCCAAGTCCTCAGCTTCCCTGGACCTGGTTTCTCCACTGAAAAGTAGGGATAATAACACTTGCCCTGTCTGATGCATGAGGGAGTTTACAAGGATCAGATGATAGGTGAGAAATGCCGTTTGAAATCGTAAAACGCCTGCAGAACTGTGGCTAATTAAAGCTCTGTTCCAAAAAGACTCCCCGCACCGTCTGCCCCTCCAGCCTTCGCACCCTGGGAGTGGGCAGACTGCCTGTGGCTGAAGACCCACTGCCACTTCCTCTGCAACAGTGCCTGACTGAGAGCCGGCCTCGCTAGGTATGTGGTGATCACTGACTGATTGGTATGAGGATTCAATGTTTTTGCCTCCTTCCCTGTGAAAAATCGGAGACCTTTCCACCGCCTTCTCTCACTGCCAGTTAGGAGGGTCTGATTCAGTCTTTAGCAATCTAGCACCTTCTCTGCAATCATCATTTGAAATTTTGGAGTTCTTATCACCCTGCCAACTCAGAGTCTGAGATTCCCGGAACTATAAGCTTGGAATGGAGACTACTTGCCTCAGGGCACACAGCTAGAAAGCAATACAGCCAGCTGTGTGGCCACCCCCAACGATTCTGCCTGCCCAGGCACGGCTAAGCATCCTGATCTGCAATCCCATCATACTCTTGGCATCTTTTCATTCGCTGCACTTAGCACATCATTTACCTCCTTCCTGAGGTCCCTGAGCACCTTGAGACTGTGTTAGCAGACACATTTTTGTGTTCCACTCTCTCGCCTGGGCCTAGTGCCTCTGTGACACATGTGGCCGTCCCATTTGTCTTATCTCCTGTGCTAACCGCACTGAGTACAGGATCTGTCTCTTGATGCCCCTCCTGAGAGCTCTGCTAGATGCCTGGGGCACCAGAGACTAGTGGCGTCTTCCATATCTGAATCTTCACCGAGTTTGAGGAGTTGCTTCTCGTCCCCTCCAACCCTCCCATGGGCTCTCTCCTTTCTTCTCGCCCTTGCACGTGCCTTACCGAACACAGACCTACATCACAGTCGCATCTCAGCCAGGCTGCCATCACCCCATACTTCCAGGAGGACTCGCCCCACTCTAATTATATATACTTCTCTTGGGCCTGCTGCCTTGAAAACATCTGGCCTTTTGTGAGCTCAGTTAAGAGGCTGCTGCCTGTATCTGGTTAGCATAAGCTGAAACTGTAAAGGTCATCTGCCTTGATGTGGAAACTTCTGGAAAACCAGAATCAGGCTGATGTAGTCTCCTGTAATGTTGATGTCTACCATGGGCTAAGCATTTCGTGCTGGTTGCTTTGTGAGCATTCTCTTGCTCAACCATCCTGGGAAGGACTGTGATTCCATTCCACTGGTGAGGAAACACACGCAGGTTCCCTAACTTGCTGGAGGTCACACAGCTCCACGTGGTGGAAGTGGGGGTGTCACCCAGCTCAGTGTGTGAGTAAAGTTCATGCTCTTTGCACTAATGTGGTCCTCTCTGTATGCCGAGTGAGTCACCCAAATAGGACAGCGGGGATCAACCATGATAAAAGGAGGAGTGACTATTTTGACTGGATCATTCCCATCAGCCAACTAACATGCAGTGCTATCTCCCAGCTCAAAAGAATAATCGTTTCCTAAAAATCAATTTTTATTTTTATTTTTTATTTTTTTTATTTTTATTTTTTTGAGACGGAGTCTCGCTCTGTCGCCCAGGCTGGAGTGCAGTGGCCGGATCTCAGCTCACTGCAAGCTCCGCCTCCTGGGTTCCCGCCATTCTCCTGCCTCAAGCCTCCCGAGTAGCTGGGACTACAGGCGCCCGCCACCTCGCCCGGCTAATTTTTTGTATTTTTTTAGTAGAGACGGGGGGTTTCACCATGTTAGCCAGCATGGTCTCAATCTCCTGACCTCGTGATCCGCCCATCTCGGCCTCCCAAAGTGCTGGATTACAGGCTTGAGCCACCGCGCCTGGCCAATTTTTCTTTTTTAATAGAGATACGGTTTTCCCGTGTTGCCAAAGCTGGTCTTGAACCTCCTGGGCTTAAGTGATCCTCCTGACTTGGCCTCCCAACATGTTTGAGATTACAAGCGGTGCGTCACTGTGCTCAGGCCCAATAACCTTTTTTTTTATTGGAACTTTTGTTTTTGTTCGTTATTTATTTATTGAGATGGAGTTTCACGCTTGTTGCCCAGGCTGTAGTGCAGATGGCGCAATCTTGGCTCACTGCAACCTCCGGTCTCCTGGGTTCAAGTGGATTATTTCACCCTTAGCCACTTGAGTAGCTGGGGATTACAGACACCTGCC